CACCTCTTCTGGACAAAGTCAGGACCCTCCATCTCAAGTTCCTGGAGTCCTGGAGCCCTGGTACACTACACTGGGGCTGACAGCTCTGTGCAACTCCTAAGTTAAAGGACTGGGTTTTTTAAACTATTTTATTTTTATTTTTTCAAAGAGAAAATAAATGAGAGGACTTAATAACTTTCTTTATCCTCCCAGAGTATGTGTGCATTGTATAGACAAAGTCAGGACCCTCCATCTCAAGTTCCTGGAGTCCTGGAGCCCTGGTACACTACACTGGGGCTGACAGCTCTGTGCAACTCCTAAGTTAAAGGACTGGGTTTTTTAAACTATTTTATTTTTATTTTTTCAAAGAGAAAATAAATGAGAGGACTTAATAACTTTCTTTATCCTCCCAGAGTATGTGTGCATTGTATATGGGTTTCATGGAGGTAAAATTCACATACTCCGAATTTACCTATTTAAAGTGCACAATTCAAGCTTGGGTTTTTGTTGTTGTTGTTGTTGTTGTTGTTGTTGTTTTTTCTTTTGCATATTCTTAGAGTTGTGCAGCTATAGCCACTGTCAAACTACATATTGACTAGCAGTCCTCCATTCCTCTTTCCTAACCCTAAGCCTTTCTGTCTCTGGATTTGTCTGTTCTGGATATTTCATATAAATGGATCATACCATACAGTAGGGTGATCTCCCACAACTGTTTTCTTACACTTAGGATGATGTTTTCAGGGCTCATCTACGCTGTATTATGTAATCAGTGCGTCTGTCCTTGTTACCGAGTAACATTGTACTATGTGGATATGCCATACTGTTGATGAGTTCTGCTTATTTTACTTTTTGGCTGTTATGAATAACACTGCTATGAATTTTCGCATACAAGTTTTTATGGGACCACACTTTCTTTTCTTGGGAAAAGGCCTAGGTGAGGAATTTCTGGGGCATAGAGTAGATGTTCAGTGTTTTGAGGAAACACCAGACTGTTTACCAAGGCATTAATAGAGATTCCCAGCAGCAGTATACAATGGCACTGATTTCTCTACAACCTCATCGAGGGGATGGGTGATGGGATGTGTGATGAAGGTCTGAGGTCTCTTTGTGAGGGGATCCAAACACCCGAGTTAACTGTGATGATGGTTGTTCAATGCTGTGAATTACTAAAAAATCATTGATTTGCATACATCAAGTGGGTAAAAGGTATGGTGTGTGAGTTATACCCCAATAAACAAAGCTGTTTCTAAAACAACAGTCAATCAAACAAAAATAGCAAATACCAGAAAGAGGAGCAAGAAGAGATAACTGCAGACCAGGCAGACTAAGAATGTTGCGTGGGCAAACACTGTGGTTCATTTGTTCATTTATCACTCATTCAGAAAGTGTGCACTGAGTACTTACATGTGCCAGGCTTTATTCTAAGTGCCAGTCCACAACAGTGAGCAGAACAAAGACCTTGCTGTGAAGAATAAAGCATAGTTTTATGGAAAAAATGGGAAAGGGACCAGACATGGCAGTAAGGGAAAGCCTATCCTAGCACCTAAGCCAAGGCTGAACAGAGAATGGAAACAAACCATGTAGGAGACCGGAAGGAAGAGCATTCCAAACAGGAAGTGGAGAAAGTGCAAAGGCATCAGGCGGTAGAAGACCTATACATTTGAGGACCAGTGAGAGAAGGAGATAGGTTGGAGGTACAGGCTAAGATCAGAGTTGAAGTCATGGAAAGAACTTTGTATTTTACCTTCAGCCCGATGAGGGTGTTGAGCAGAAATGGAGGAGGTGATTTATGCTTTAAGAGGGCCATTTTTTGTTCTGTAGAACATTGAGTACAGGCTCAGAGCGCATTTGGGAGGCTACTGCAATAGTCCCATTAATAGGTGAGGGCGGCTTGGATGTGGGTGCAAGCAGGAAGTCAGGGCTAGCAGAATTTGCCAATAAATTGAATGTAGAATCTGGACCTGATTCTAAAATCAAATGTTTCAATTTATGCTTCTATCAACATTCTGGTTGTAAACTGTACAAGTAGAGGCTATACTAGCTAGTGACCTGATGTGTATTTTTTTAACTATGTGTTATAGTCAGCTTTATTGAGGTGAATTTACATATGGTAAAATTTACCAATTATAAATGTGGAATTTGGTAAACGTATACAGTGGCTGTATGTACCACCTTTATGATACAGAGCACTTTGATCTTCCTAGAGAGTTCCCTCCTGCTCATTTGCCATTGACCCCTTCCCTGTCCCTACAGTTTAAGAATGTTACATAAATGGAGCTGTAGCTCTTTGGTGTCTTTCTTCTAACACAGTGTTTCTGAGACCCATCTACATTGTTGCACGTATCAGTAACATGTGCCTTCTTATTGTTATCCAATGGAATACAGTAGACTGCCGTTTGTTACTTCACTTACCATTTAAGTGGGTGTTTGGATTACTTCAAAGCACTGGCTATGATAAAGTAAGCTTTTATGACCAAGTGAGTACAATTCCACCTAGGTCTACAGCTCACCCACCAAGCTGCTGTGTGATAGGACAAGTCAGAATATTCAGTTTGTTTGTTTTTACCAGGGAGCGAACTCCGGACCTTGCGCTTGCGAGGCAGGAACCACTGAGCTAAATCCCCAGCCAAGTGGCTTTCCTTATTTGACTAACAAGCCACTTGGGAAACCTACTTCTGTTGCAGCTTCATTTTCATTCTTAACATCTGTGGAGAAATTCTGACGCACTAAGATATTCCATTTTAAATGCCTCACATTAGCTAACATATTCACTTAAGATTTCTAATGTTTTGATGTGGATCTATGTTTTTGGAATATTGTGGTGACTGTTTATCAGTTAATGTAGATGTGTGTCATACTGTCTTAGTATGCAATGCTTTGCTATCCAATTCAATCACAGAAGGGCTCCTGTTCCATTCGACTGCATATTGGTGTGGCCTCTCCCTCTGCCCAGTTCTGGTTCTGCTGCTTACCTTACACTGGCATAGATACTAAGTGCACACCCTAATAATGGCCATGTACTCCACACGGTCTCAGAACCTGCTTCCGAGAGAAGGAGGCGTGTAGGAGGGGCCTGAGAAAGCAGGTGATATGATGGGACTTGGAAGCAGTGTTACACTTTGTCATGCTGGCACTGAGGACCCCATCGCTGCACAGAGCTAGAACACAGGCATCCCTTAGCTCAAGGTAATGGTCCAGTTGGTAGAAGTCTTACTCCCAGTGGATTGAGATGGTTAGCCTCTGGGAAGGAATGTATTAGACAACTGAGGGATATGGGTGAAATAATAACTGCAAAAATAAGGGCATTCAGTGACAACTGTTAAAGTCCCCTAGGATGTTTTAGAGAAATATTATAAAACACCAAGAATGATTGACGGGCAACTGAGAACCATGCATAAATGTTAGCAAACCTCCTTGACACCATGCAACAGGGAAAACCAAGGATTTTGCCTTTAAATATCATTTCCAATTTAATTCACCAGGATCGTCCCAGGAGAAACCAGATGAAACCTGGAGGAGGCGGCAGACAGTACAGTACACTACTCACACAACAGCCCTATTGCAGCTACCATTCCAGTACTAGAACAGAGGAATACAGTCTCAAGTACCTTTTATGTAGACAGCTCCTTAGTGAATGACTTCTTTTCTAGGCCTGTGAGAAAAGCACATTTGAAACAGCATGCATCCACAGGGAACAAGCAACAATACACATTCACAGTTTTGCCCCGGAACTATGGTAACGGTCAGCGTCTGTCATAACACAGCTTGCAGAGATCTGGGCCAGCTGGACACACTGAAGAATGCGGCGTTGATCTATTACATCAGTGCCATCACAGAGATTCAGCTGGATGGACACAGAGCGGCTGGTACATTAAAGTCCGCTGACACATGTGCTTCAGAGGATGGGAGATGCACAGAGGGGCTCAGCACATCAGGAAGATGTTTGCAGGTCCAGAGTCAGGGGTGTGCCAAGACATTCCATCCAGAGAAAAGAACACATGATTGCATCTTGCACCCCCCACCATGAAGAAGGAAGCAGAGGGCCTGAGAAGCCTCTTTGGGTTCGGGGCACAGTACATTCTGCGCCTAAAAATACTGCTCCAGCCTGTATAGCAGGTCACACAAAGGGCTGTCAGCTGTAAGTGGAGCTCGGAGTAGAAAAGGTTTGCAACAGGTCCAGGCTGTAGCACAGGCAGTTCTGATACTTGGCTGTATATGCTTAGTGCCACTAGTATAATAAGATGCTGTGTAAAGTTTACGGCAAATCCCCCTGGGAGTATTTTAACACACGCCCCTGCAGCACTAGAGCCGTACTATATGAAGCAGAGATTTATGGACCGTTTGAAGAACACTCCTGGTGTCCTACTGGGCTGGATCATAGGACAGGTGACTACACATCAAGCATTGCCTATCAAGAGCTGCATTCTGTCGATTGTAACATCAGACAAGCATCCACCGTTCACCCTACGGTGAACTGGCATCTAGGGCTGAGCACACTTATGATTGATGGGCCCAGAAAGTTGCATAGGCTGGCAGCCTGTACCCTCTACCCACTGCTATGCCAGCCCTGCTCCTCCAGTTCACACCGATGGCTGTAGGCAGGATCCTTTACAAACTGCTGAATGGAGGAAGGAAATCCCATATGTGTTTTACAGAGGTTCTGTGAGTTCAAGCTGAGAGCAGAGAGCAGCTGCACTATATCCTCATTTGGCAGTAGCCTTGAAAGACTGGTGAAGGGAGAGCTCATGGGCAGAGCTTTAGGAGGTGTGCTTGGTCATCCTTTCAGTATGAGCGGAGTTTACAAATTAGGTAATGATGATGGTTACAGTGATGAATGGCCTACTTGGCTCACAAGTGACCTGAAAGAAAAAGGATTGGGGACAGGAGATATGGGACAGAGGCAGGAAGTTGAACATATGAATTGGGTGCAAAGTATGAAGATCTTTGCGAATCACATGTTAATGCCTACCAGGAAGCCTCTATCGTGGAAGAGGCAGCGATAATTAAGAAGACAAAAATGTCTTGACCGCTTAACCTCAGCTCCTCTGTCATAAGCCACAGTGCATCAAGTGACCACGGTGGCAGGGAGAAAGGCAGGTGAGCCTAGCAGCATGGGCCCCCACTCTAAAGGCTGATCGGATGAGATTGGGTGTGTTCGGGGTGGTATGGCCATAGACTATGAAGGTTGATCTAGCTCCTGCTGTGCTGAATGAGCCCTGTCTTGGGGTGGCAAGTTGACTACAGTAAGCCATGTTTCATGGCTAACTACAGGGCTAACTACATTTGGAGCACTGTTTAGCTTTATTTCCTGCTACACTTCAGTCAGCAACACTGTTCAGGGTTTATCAGTATCTGATTCACGAGCACCGGCTCCCAAGCAACACTGCATCCGATCATACTCTCAATTTACTTTCTGCAGTGGAGATGCAGAAACGAGTGCATGATCACATTCAGATCCTGCTGGCCTAACAGGCACTGGAATGGTCCTGTGGCATAGAGGCAGCACTTTAAGATGGGGTTCATCTTCCGGGAAGCCATACACACCTTCAATCGAACACCTTTACATAGCGCTGTGACCCGACCCTTCAGGGTTAGAGGTTGTCCACTCCAAAGCAGGAGTGGACCCAAGAGCCCACCGGAGGACTCAGTGAGAATCCTATTGAGCGGTCAGCTCTAGCTACCGGCTGGACACTTTGGGTGCCTTATATGGGGGACTCAGAGGCAAGAGTCACCATCTCTGCCCAGAGGACTCATTTGGGCGCCGCTTAGCACTTGTTGACCAGTTGTGACAGCAGGGACCTGGGCGCTCCCAAAGCTACCGGTGGGACAGTGGTGGGGAAATCTCTCCGATGTTGTGTTTTGCTTTGTCATGGGTGGGGAGGCGGGCTAGAAAGTTAGTTTATATCCCAACTTTTTACCTGGTTTTTAATAAAATATTCTTTTTGGTTCTCACTTAGGTACCATTCCCTCTCCTTCCACCTCCATGGGACTAGGGCAGAAGGCAATGCGGAAATTTTGGAGGGTGGGTGGCGCGGTGTCCACAGTCCTGACTTTCTTCATCCCTCCATTATTTGTAACCGCCTACTGAATTCCCCTCCCCTGGAGAAGAGTGTAGCACATTACAGTGTCCGCGCTTCCACAGTGCAGCGAGTAAAAAGGGAATGGAGCGCAGGGGGCGCGGCCTTCGCGCAGGTTCGGGCGTCTAGACGGCAGGCCTAGCCTTGGAAATCCAGGGCGGCTCAGCCCAGAGAACAGCATCTGAACGCGGTTGGAACGCGCCGCGAGCTCCCCGCACACACCCAAGAGCCTTATTTTTTCCCGACTTCCAAACCCCGCCCCTAGCTTTCCGCCATTCTCATTGGCTGCGCGGCTGCCCAATGGGCAGGTGGGAATGGTGAACTCGCGCCTCAACCAGCCATCCACTCTCGTTCGCTCGTCTCGCGAGAGTCGATCATTTGTTGGGAAAGCGCCGCGGGGTTATCAGCTGTGAGGCTGTGGGACCACCGGGCGGGCGGCAGTGGAGACCATGTTTCGGGTGGTGGTTCCAGGGCGGCTCCAGAGCGCGGTGAGTCCGGACGGAGGTTGAGTGGGGACATTTCGACCTTGCTGGCAGTCCCCGTGAGACTATCGAGAAGGTCACCGCCTAGCATGGGGCGTGGGCCCAAAGGCTCTGGGACCTGCTCTGGACGTTGCCGGGCGCCCGCGCAAGTCAGGGAGCCCGGCGGGGACAGCGCACCAGCGGCTTCTCCTCCCCTACCCCCGCCAGTCCGCGGCTCATTCTGGGCGCCTGCGGGTGCCGAGGTCCCCACACTGGGTGATAAGAGGTCGGGGCGCCCCCGCACGTTCAGAGCCTGGTCCTCTGGACCCGGGAGAGTCCGCCCCGGCCCGGGAACCGATGTCCAGCGTGGGGGCGGCGAGTGATGCGCACTGGTTGTGCCGGCGGACCTGCTTCTGGAGCAGCAGGTTTTTGGTTAAATAGACGGGGTACTATTGACAGCGCCAGGTGTCTTGATGCTTTCAGGAATGCCAGATCCTAAATCCAGAATAATTCTCTCTTCCCCTTGGGATGCAAATGCTGGGCAAAAACAGTAGGTGGAGACTGACCAGTTACAAGTCAATCATTTACATTGTGGCTTCTCTACATTTTTCTAAGTTACATTTTGGTTAAGTGAGAAACAGGATTGCCACCCATAAGGTAACATTTTTCCTTTTATTTTGCAACTTCTTCCTTTTGGGGGGGGCGGCATGTATTTTGCAATTCACCACCGGTCTTTGTGGAGTAGACATTTTTTTTTTTCTTGTACTAATTCCATAAAAAGTTCTATCTTTCTCAAAGTTCAAGGTCACATTCTTTGGGTCTTTGGGTGAGAGTCCTGTCTTTTCTCCAGGAGATTTTTTTTTCCTTTGAAAATGTAGACATAAACAAGTTAGAGTCATGTTTTTTTGGGAAAATTCCAGGAACTGGAGTCAAACTTGCAAGAGAATTCTTGTCTCTGCAGGGGTTGGAAGGTTTCTTCCCTTCATTGGCAGGTTTACATGTCTGGTGTAATTGTGGTAGGAGGAATTCAGGACTCAGTGATTTTATAAAATTAATAGAAAAAGGGAATAGTTTAAGAAACTTACTATCCACACAGTTGGCCAGTATTGACAGATTGTGACTTGTCCAGGACTTTGACCTTGAGTTATTTTTAAGGTTTGAAGTCAAGCTTAGTAGAGGAGCTGCTTTGAAGTCATTAGGAATGTTTTAGATGTTTGCATTTCAAGCAGGTAAGAAATAGTAGGAATACTTCTAAAATGGACATAAATACATGTTAGACATATTTAACTTTTTAAATTTGGAAAGAATTTCAAACTCACAGAAAAACTTCAAGAAAGTACAAAGAACTCTTAAGAAACCTTCTCTGAGTTTCACCAACTCATAGCAGTTGGGCACATTTGCTTTCTCTACCTATATTCAGATTACTGTGTTATCTTCTAAACTATTCGAGAGTGTGGTGCAGACATGCCCTTTACTCCTAAATGATTTAGTGCATGTTTTAGAACAGGGAAGTTCACTTTCCAACTACAGTATTATTGGCAATATCCAGAAGTTTAACAGTGTTACAATTTTCTGTATAGAGCCGTACAGATTTTGCTAGTTGTCTTGTTAATATTGCTTATAGTAACTTTTCCTATTTTGGTCCAAGATGGTCCAAATTCATGACATGTAGTTTTAGTGTCTCTTAAGTCTTTGTTAGAGCAGTTCTTCAGTCTTCCTTTGACTTTGATAACATTGACATTTTCGAAGAGTACAGGCCTGTTTTGCAGACTGTTACACAATTTAATTTTAGTTTCCCCCACAATTAGACTCAGGCCCCGTATTCTTGACTGGAATATCACAGAAGTGATCTTGCTCTTTTCAGTGTACCATATTAGGAGGCACATAGCATTGGTTTATCATGTTACTGGTGATGTAAACTTTAATCACTTAGGGTAAGTCATTTAGGTTATGAGTTGTTTGCCAGGTTTCTGCACTGTGAAGTAATAATTCTTTCCTTTGTAATTTTTAACTCTTTGGTGGGGAAATACATTGAGACTGTAACTTGTAAGATTCACTCACTTAGCCTCTGTAGATCATTCTTGAGAAATGATTGCTGTGATGCAAAGTGGTGATTTACTAATTTTGTTATTTCTTCTACATTTCTTAGGATACTACTAAGAGTATACTACTAAGAAATGTGTTCTACTATATTCTACGTAGTATTCTACTATGTTGTGATGGTAAACCTTTTAGAGATGAGTGCCCACACTCCAAACCCACTGATTTAATCACCAAGTACCAACATGGTAATTAAACCTGAATACTGAAGTTTTACTTTAGAAAAAATAATTCATGCATATCATCTTTTGTCTTAAAAGAAAAATAACATGTCAGAGGTTTGCCACCACTGTACTGTATGGAAGAATATCTCCTTCTGGTTCATGTATGTATTTATGGACTCAGGCATCCAAATTTAGCAGGTTATCATCTCTTTTTTTTTTTCAGCTTTAATTGAGTTTATTGGTACATTTTAGGGATACAGTACAGTTACATTCATTGTTGGGCTCTTGTACCTCAACATGACAAGTCTTGATTCTCATTTTTTCCCCTTACCTCTGCCCTCCCTTCACCCCCTCCTCCCCTCCCCATCTACAAACACTTTATTTTCATCTTTTCATTATCTCACATTTTTTTCTTTTCCCTTTTTACTCTTCCCCTACCCATCCCACCTTCCCTACACCTTTAGCTCCTTTCTTCCCATTTCTAATTGTCAGTAATCTTATTAGAATCTTATGCATTGTTGCAGATTATTTACACCAGGGAAACTATTCGGTATTTACACATGTGGGACTTATTTATTTCACTTAGGAGTATATCTTCAATATGTATCCATTTTCCTATGAATGAATCTATTCTCTCGCTCTTTATGGCTGAGTAATATTCCATTTTATAGAAAAACCACAACTTCTTTATCCAGTTTCCAACGGATGGGCAAATAGGTTGTTTCCAAGATTTAGCTATTACAAACTGTGCCGCTATAAACATGGGTGCACATACTTCTCTGTGATATGATTCTTTTAGTTCTCTTGGAAAGATACCCAACAGAGGGATGGCTGGGTCAAATGGAACCTCCAGTCCAAGCTCTTTGAGGTATCTCCATATTGATTTCCATAGTGGTTGCACTAGTCTGCACTCCCACCAACAATGGAGGAGGGTTCCTTTCTCCCCACAACCCCGCCAACATTTGTTATTGTGTGATTTCTTGATAGCAGCCATTCTTTGTGGGGTGAGGTGGAATCTCAGTGTTGTTTTCATCTGCATCTCTCGAATGACCAGTGATGTGGAACATTTTTTCATATATTTTCTTGCTGCTTTCACTTCTTTGTATGAGAAATGTCTGTTCATTTCGGATGCCCATTTTTGGATCGGGTCTTTATATTTGGGGGGACTGATTGTTTTGAGTTCTTTATATATCCTTGATAATAGTCCTTTGTCTGAGGTACAGCTGGTAAAAATTTTTTCCCACATTGTAGATTGTCTCTTAGTTCTGCTAATGGTTTCTTTTGAAGTACAGAAGCTTTTTAGTAAGATGAGATCCCAGTTGTTGATTCTTTCTGCTAGTTCCCGTGCTACTGAGGATTTGTTCATAAAGTCTTTTCCTATACCAATGTCTTCCAGAGTTCTGCCTAACTTACTTTCCAGCAAGTTTAATGTTTCTGTTTTAATATTTAGATCTTTAATCCATTTGGATTTTAATTTAGTGCATGGCGAAAGATAAGGGTCTAATTTTAATCTGTGACAGGTTGATATCCAGTTTTTCCAACACCATTTATTAAAGAGGCTATCTTTCCTCCACTGAGGATGGTGAGCTCCTTTGTCGAAGATGAGGTAGCTGAGTACATCTGCATTTGTTTTTGTGTCTTCCAGTCTGTTCCATTGATCCTCAGGCCTATTTCTTTGCCAGTACCATGCTGATTTTATCACAGTGGCTTTGTAGTATAGTTTCAAATTGGGAATTGTTACACCTGGTGCCATGTGACTGTTGCCTATAATGGCTTTTGCTATTCTAGGTCTCTTGTGGTTCCAAATGAATTTTTGGATTCTTTTTTCTAGTTCTGTGAAATATAGTGTTGGAATTTCAATTGGCATTGCATTGAATGTATATAGCAGTTTCGGTAGTATGGCCATTTTCACTATGTTGATTCTTCCTACCCAAGGGATATCTTTCCATTTTTTTTATATCCTCTTTGATCTCTTTTTTTCAGT